GACCTACCACATCCCTCTCTCTCCATGCAGATACAACACCTTCTGTTCTTCCTTCCACTATCTTCTTGTCTGGTTATAACCACTCAGGTGTTAAGGCATGGATGGAAAAACTGACAGGCTCTACAGCTGACAAAAAACAGGGAGAGAAATTGACATTTCTTAGAAGCTCCCTGTCTGGTTTTCTTTTTTCTTTTCTTTTTTTTTTTTTTTTTTTTTTTTATTAACTATTTTTGAAATGCCATTGCCATTTGAAAATATCTGACTTTCTGTTTATAACTTGGTTATATTAAAGTACAGAGGTTGAGTAGCATATGAGCAGATGTGGTTTGGAGCTTGCTTTCTTCGTCCAACAGCTGACAAGACATCTGCTGTGCTGGGGACTGAAGAAGCAGAAAAATAAATCGTCTTCTGGTTGCAAATCTTCTAAAAACACTTTTTCTCTGTTCTCTGGGGAAGACATTCAAGCTGTGGCCATCTTACAACTCTAAGGACAGAATTCTTTACTGGGAAAAATTGCACAACCACTTTTAGATGGAGAGAGAACATCTTTGACGTGCTCTCAACCTCTCATTTAAAGATGTCTGGACAGTTTCCATCAATGGTTGTTTTTGAAGAGAGAATTGAAGTTTAAACTCAAATATTAATAATATTTTTTCTTTTAACAGGAAAAAACCCCAACCTACTTGGGAAGAGGGATGTTATTCTGTTGAGAAGTCAAATATCTGAAAACTGATATGTTTTGGCCCCAAATAGTTAAATTCAGATATCCCACAACAATATTTCATGAAAATTATTAACTTTTCCCAGGTCTGCATTTCCTCAGAAAGAGGTGATTTGCTATCTTTATATAATCTCCTCTACTTGGTCTGAAGGGCAGTGTGGCAAATTGCAGAAAATGGAATAATATTACTAGATAATCTCATCTAGGCTCCCTTTCTTATGAAAGGTTGGACCAGATGATTTTTTGAGGTCCCTTCCAACCTGGGCCCTTCTATGGTTCCAGTAAAACTGGAGAGACAGACTTATCAAAGACCAGAGAATCATAAAGCACTGTGGCAGTATTCCCAAATTTAAATGATTCGAATTATGGACAGAATAACTTTGTTTTCACTTATATTCTATTTTTCTTGTTCTTAAATACTTTTTTTTTTTTTCCTGTGGGAAATCTCTTGATGAGCTCTGTTCTTTTTGAAGATGATCCCAGTCCATCTCTCAGGAGAAACTTATCATACCCCAATTATGAAGAGAATTTTAGAAAATTCACAGTTAGCACAGCCTCTCATGTAAGACCCTAGGGTGATACTGGAATAGCTTTTTGGCACTGAGATCTGCTGCTAACATCTGTTGTGAGCATGACTGAAAAATTGAAGAGCAGTCCCCCCCACCCCATGCCCTTCAAAACCTATTAATAGTCAGGGTTTTTTTGGTCAGGTTTTTTTTGCATCTGCTGGGACTCCAGGGATCCTCATGGAAGAGATGAATGGGGGATTTAGGGCAAGATTAGCTGCATTGATTCGGCTGTTTGCAGAAGGATTTACAGGGCATTGGAGTATCTTTAATCCATGGAATTGATCCAAGACATCCACCCAGCAGTGGTTAGCCAGCCCTACAGGTACTTAAGACTCATAATGTAGCTCCTTGTTTTGCATTGACATTATATATTTAAATAAAGATAAGCATACATATATGCAGTAATCACAGAGATGGGGCTATTGACTGCCACCTACACTATGCTGTGATGAAAAAGCAAAGTGAAGAAACACCTGAAGCTGTGAGAAAGGGCTGATCTTTTGGGGCATTTTGGTCATCAATAGGTGTACATAAATAATCTAAATAGAAATCAGGAGGGAATGTGCCATGTGTCTAGAAGAGTAACAGACATGAGGGAGACTGAATAACATCCCGAAGCGGGATTTTTTGGCACGGCCAGAAGCCTCTCCTCCAAGCAGAACTGACAATTTACAAAAAGTGGCTGGATACTGAAACCATTTTGCTTTTGACAGAAATGCAAATGATCTTTTCTGTGAACTGTGTCAAGCTAATTGTATAGTGAATATACTTTATCATGAAAAAAACCCCATATTGAGCTAATCTGTGTATGACAGTATGACTAATATGACAGTATGACTACTGAATTTTGTCAGAGAATCACAGTGAGGTGAACTTTCAGCCACCTTTCTGGATCATCTTTGCTACTATTTCTCTAATGTCTTTTTATTAAAGAACAGAGGAGGGGAAAAAACCCACAACCACCACCAAACCCCACAACCATGGCTGATTTGTGGCATTCAGAAGAGAAAGTGAAATATGACTCTCCTTGTTATTATGGTCTCTTCTTATCTCGCAGAGGTGGAAATGACAAGTTCCCAAGCTGCTGTTGAGCTGCTACTGGAATCTGAATTGCCTGATATTTTCCAGTGCTCTTTTCAGTTCAGCAATAAGAACTGGTGGCTTTTTTCAATGTTGGGTGAAACACACTTATGTGTTTAGGCTGGTGCTTGCTGAGCTGCTGTCCTTATGGTTATGGCAGGTTTCAGAGCACAAGCTAATTTACACTGCAGTTTTGTTGCTTTGAATTAGCAGAACTCAGAATTTCCTGGGTTTGTGCTGGCTCCTGCGATGTCAGTTGAGAAGTCTGTACTGAGGGAACATGGTGAAAGTACTCCCTGGTATTTCTTCGGGTCTGTAGAAAGCTCTTACAATTCTCCAGCCACAACTCATTTCAATGCAAAAATCAAGGCAGCAAAACTTTTTACAGGACATGAAAACAATGCATGATTTCAGTTATTTCTTTGCAAAAGTATCTACAGCTTGCAAAGTTTGCAGGGATCGTTTATTCTGGTCAGCAAGTTACATCAGACACTTTCTGCACTTAATTCTTGTTTGCCCTGGACAGAAAATGGGCAAATGAGAAATAGAAACCTGCAGAAAAACATGTAGTCTGAGGCTCTGTAACTTGAAGAAAATCTCAGAAGATGGAATTCATCCCGGGTAGGGTTAATCTCACTTAATTTATGTGTCTACAATGTAAATATCTTTATGTGGACTATAGGGCTCTGCTCCCATCACAGGCAACAGTGACCTAGTCCATATATTCAATGTGAGGGTGATGCATCTCTTTCAGCTGTGGGTATCTATGTCTTCACTCAGTGACTTAAATACAAGTATCTGGTGTCATCTGAGATGCCTCTGCCTCCAGTGGCCTCTCCAGAACTGTGTGGGTGTCCTGTAGTTTAATAATTCACAGGGGATGGGATTAATTTTACCAACATAGAGTGTTTCTAGAGCCATTTCTCTATGGTATCTGGGACATGTATGGAGCTGGCATATATGCAGTTATGGTACAGACCCTATGGGAGACTGAGGCCATTCTGAATGGCAGCTGAAGGCCAGGTGGGATCATCTAGTGCATCTCTGTTGTATCTTCGTTGCATCTCCAATGCAAACAAATCCCACGCTGCAGCCCAGGGACCAGAGGTAGGCTTCTACCTTAGGGAAGCTGAACTGCTCTCCTGGCTGCACTGATTTAATGAGTACATCAATATATTGGTAAGCTGCTGTCAGAAACTTCTTCCCCACGAACTTCTGACCACACAAACACGGGTTGGGACTGGTGGGCTCCATTCAGAGTGGGTCTTGTGGCTTTTGTGAACTGAAGAGAATTGGCAGGACCAGGGTCTGGTCTGGTCAGAGTGAGTAGATAGATCTCTGCACAGCTTCCTAGGGAGACACATCCCTTCTCTACAATCAGATTTGACCAGAATGGAGTTTCCTGGAAGGTGACATGCTGCAGGGAAAAATGCAGCTCTCCAGGCTGTCCCTGAAACACGGAAACACCAAAATATCTCACCAGCTTGGTCAGGAGCAGCTCAGGGCTCTTGATAGAGAGTGTTCTTGAAGTGCCCTCTTTGATTAGAGGGATGAGATTTGCTTCCCATTATCCCAAAAGCACAAATAAACATTACTGTGATAATCAAGCTATTGCAGTGATCTATTTATTACTGTAATAACTACTGTGTCATTGCCTCAAAACTGGAATGGGAAAGCAGGCTCTCATTTAGGTAGGACCCAGAACCCCAACTATTTTCACTCACTGAAGCCGTGTTGGAGACAGCAGTTTAATGAGGGTGGCCAGCTTTCTGTGTAGCATTCATGTTGCATTTCAAAGCTGCTTGTGTCCTGCCAGTAATGGATGTCCCACCATTTGGGAGCAACTGGGCAAGATAAAACACAAATGCTCTTCCAGCAAAGCCACCCAGGGAACTGAGGAGTGCAGAGAGGATGCATGGGGGTGGGGGGTCAGGCTGATAACAGTGTCAGGAAAAGCAGGTCTCAAAGGGGGTTGAACGGTAGATTATCAGTGTGGCACAATAAGTAAACCAAAGAGCTTTATGATTCAACTGATATTTATTTGAAAGGCCAGCATAAATCCCCTTTTCAAATATATTCTGATTTGGTGGGTGGTTGTCTTGTTATAGGGGATGATGGGTTTTGGGAAAAAAAAGAAAAAAAATTGATCTAGGCAACGTGGAAGCAATCATATCTCAGAGGGTGACTTCCCAATTTAGAAAAATGACATAAGCAAATGCAGACCTGAAAATTGTTAACTCCGTTTTGCTTTGAATGGGGGTTATTTAAATCAAAGCAAGGCTGGGATTAGAAAAGCTTCAAATGAATTCCCTTATCTTAGTTATTTCAACAGGAATTTGGTATCCAAGTCCCTAAAATGGTCTGGAAAATCTCAGCCATGAGGATGTACTTACAGACACCCATTTCTAACCCAGAAATATGTGTGTGTGTGTGTGTGTTTCCCTGCTTGTTAGATGCATTCTGCTATAAACAATGCTGATTCTTTGCACCTTCCCAGGAGAAGACCAGCATGTAATGTGAGGCATGAATACTCCCCTGCGTCTGCTGAAATGTTGATGGTCCCATATAGCTCTATCCTCAAGTCTAAATATAAATCTGTGCCTGTCTTTAACGAACGGCAACTCAACAAAGGCCAGGGGTGCCGTCCAGCCTGAAAGAGAGACACTGCAGCAAGTTTGCTGGGAAGGTGAGTGTCAGCATGGCCCAGAGGAGGATAAAACCCATTGATGGGACCTGGGTCGTAACCCAGCCTCCCCCTTGTACACCTACAAGCACATGCATTTACACACACATCAATAACTTTTGACTCAACGCCAGCCTCAGCCCTAAAACCCCCAAACTCTCCTTCCATTTAAGTGCTAATTCATAACAATGCCGTATCCGATGGCTCTAAAATAGCCGGGTAAATGTCTTGTCCTTTTATAGCAGTGGCCCTATTGTAAGCTCTGGCATGTGACAGGTCTGAGAGTGACACAATGTGTGACTTCAAGAGACTGGACAGGGATAAAGACCTGTGCACGCTGGTGATTTATCCTGCAGCAGCCACCTCTTTCCTGTCTGTCTGTCTGTCTCCTTCTCTCTCTTTCTAAAGCAGCCCACCAGCAATCTAACATGCCTCCAAAGAAGCCCGAACCTAAGAAGGCCGAACCTAAGAAGGAAGAACCCAAACCAGCTCCTAAACCAGCAGAACCAGAACCCAGAAAAGAAGTTGAATTTAACCCAGCTTCTATCAAAGTATGTATCTTTTAACATGGCCTGGAAGAAAGCATGCTGGTGGGGCTTGGGTTGGTGGTGGTTCTGGTGGTGGTGTATTCAATGCTGCGAGATGACGTTCTCCAAAAGTAGCTCTTGGTTTTGAGCAGAAAGGCAGCACCAAAGGCAATTGCGACAGGTAGAGTAAGAGTGGGAGAAAAGTCACTGGGAGCTCTGCTAAACAGAGAAGCTAAAACATGAATCTTATTTTATCTGAGGATGTTCAGCACTGCCTGTCCTGTCTTATTCCCAAAGTAGCAAGTTTTCTTGCATACAAGCTTCATTTACCTCAGTGGGAAACTCATTGCTCCTCTGCAGGAAATATTGCAGGTAGATGCCAAGAAGGTTTGACTGTATTCAGGGCTGGTCACTGACTAACCAGCAGTCAAGGAGAGGTTGTAGGCTTGGAGTGGGCTTGGAGCATGGTTTGAAATAATTTCTCACTGTCTGAAATGTATCACTTGGGTAGACATCACCGGCCTAGTACTTCCTTAAAGTGAGCCAGTGACACCTCCTGTGGTTTTCCACTAAAGCCCAGTTGAATGGCAAAGGAACTGTGTGCTTATGTGCATGCTTTGGAAAGCAGAGAGAAACTTGAGCAAAAATCCAGATTCTCTGAATGACCTGCTGCTTTCATGTTCTGCCCCAAAGATTCCTCCAAAGGGCATTAGTCTTCTCCTCCTCCTTCTTGTTTAGAGAAATCTCTGCTGGAAAGAGTCACTGCTGATCTCAGCAGGGTATGCTGAAGTCTTGCTCAAGTGAGTGAGGACAAGATTATGTTTTCAAGGCTGTTGCAGAAATAAGTATTAGAGAATTTGGGGTCACCAATCCTGAGATGCCTAACAGGTATCACACTGCCCTTTCAGGGAACCATCCCATTGTCAGGGAAGTGCCAATGTTTAGGAAACGCTCAAGGTTTTAAATCCATGAAGTAGGTAATTCCACTGAAATGATACTGGAGATCTGTCTCCCTTTCAGATGTTGTTTTTTTTTTTTTTTTTTTTTATTTTCCATGGGAATTGACCCTTCAGCAGATATCTGAGAGTGTCTCTTTTATTTCAAAATAAATTTATCTCAGAGAATGATAAGGAGAAAGAAATTATATATTCCTATGGAAACGACCATGAAATGGACTATCAAAGCATGACCTCTTGACTTATAAAAATGCAATAAGCAAATAAAGATCTAAAAATGACTAGTTCCACTTTTCTTCTTCTGCACCACACACATTCACAGGCACTGTCAGAGACGCCTGCACACACCCTTAGGAACTGCTTTCCCATATTGTTTGCACAGTAAATGCCTCATGATGGATAGACACTGCAAGACACAGCAGGATTTCTTTGCAAGGCATTGTCCTTTGGGAACTGTCCTTCAGGAAAAAGCATTGCCCATGAGGAAAAGAAGAGGATTTGCAGCATCTCACAGGCTCCTTTCTCATGGGGATTTGGGTAAGGCAGTGGCTGGGTATAAATCAGCATTATTTTGTTAATTAGTTTAAAGCAGCCAGGTTCTTTCCTGTTTCTTACAAGAAATTAAGCAACCAACAGGGGAATCCTGGTGATCACCTGTGTTTAAAGTGAGCCAGAGGACACAAGACAAGGCTAGATAATGCCAAAGAGGAGAATGTACAGAGCCCCACTGCCTGCCATGACACCAGCTCCTCAGAGCTGAGGTGAGGGATGAATGTCTCTGGGACCCTCTCTCAATAGCTAAAAAAATAGTTTCTCCCTCAGGAAAATCGATAAACTATGTAAGAAAGAGACTATGTTACTCTGTCTCTTTGGAATGCCTCCTGAGTGCATCACAACAGGTCTCATGGGTAGCTTGTAAATCACAGGCTGCCGAAAACTTTTGCTTTGTCCACACGGGACTGACTCTTGCAGCTGGGGATTCCTAACAAAGGAAGCACTGAAAGTGAATTTGTCCTGCCTTGAATCATAAAGACCTTGAAAATTTCGCAGTTTAAATACTGGTAAAAAAAACCCAATCATTTGTAATTATATCAAGAAGATGTCAAATTACAAGGAATTAGGTTTGGGGCTAGTTTTTAAAGTAATGAGACCAGAGTTAGTGTTGTGCTCTGAGCAGAACTTCCACCATGACCTTGGTCAAGTGGTACGTGGTGGGATTCAGCTCTCTGTACTTAACATTCCTGCACTGTAAAAGGAGGAGGGGCCCTTGCAATAACTTCTCTTTGAGGGCACAGATAGCTTCAGCCAAGATACCGTGACATTGTGGAAACACTCAGCTAGGATACTATGACACTGTGGTATGAAGGGCAGATAAGTCCAGTGGAGAGATGAGTTGTAATTAAAAAAAAAAAAAACCAAACCCAAACCTCAAACCGGCACTACTCAAAAAACAGACATGCATCTTTGTAGTCAACACAGTTTCAGGATCATCAAATACATTTTCATCCAAATAGGATTTGAAACCAATTCATTTCTGCATTTTTTTTTTAAACTTACTGACTCTGCGCACTTATTCATGCAAATTATTATTTTTTCCTCCAGCACAATTTGTATTTACAGTCTCTTATTATGTTTTTTAAAGTGCTAAAAATATATATATTGGCTTCCAAAAAATTAAGTAAATCTAGTACTCTTGTGATAACATTTCTTTATCTTTGCAGAGACCATTCCACTATCTACTATGTACAAAACTGGACTAGGGAAAACATCAGCAGATGCATGGTTTGGGTCTGTTTTGTTGGTTGGCTGTTTTTTTTTTCCAAAACTCATACGAAGGGTAGACAATATTCTCTAGAGAAGCTTTCTTGGGAATTTTTGAATTAAATGTTTTTCATCAAAAATGCTTTTGTCCAAATTGGAACTATTTGTGTACAGGGGCTGGGTCTGGCAAATACACTGCTTCCTGCTTCATAAACCTAGCTCTGGTGGAGCTCAGGCCATCTGGTGTAGATCAGTATACCTCCCTAGATCATTGTACAACATCTAAAAAAATGCTTTAATGAGTTTTGAAATTCTCCAAACATCCCATTTCTGCATTCCAGGATGAAACTGGTTCTTGTTTTCATGCAGAAGATAAACTGTAGTTAAAAAAAAGGGAAGGAAAACAACCTTGTATCAAAACAAAATGCTAAAAATGATCAAAATACATCTTTTGATGGGAATGTCTTAAATTGTCAATATTCTCAGACCTATTGCACAACTTTTTATTTGGAATTTTTAAACTTTTTTTTTACACCCTAAAAAGCTTCAAAACGAAAATATTTCTGTGGTAAAGTACTTCATTCAATTTTCCTGACTGTAATAGTCTTCTGTCATGATAATGGTCTAAAAGTATTATTTTGCACTCCAGAATCATATTAGATTTTCCCATTTTATTTCTCTTGTTGTTTCATGGTTTCAGTCTGTTTTGGCTCTCTCCTGTGCGTCAGTTACAGTGGCCTAAATGTACGATACATCTCCTTAAATAAATACAGCTATTCTAAAGTTTTACTCATACATTCCCACAGGTTTTGATCCAATACTTAGAAATTTTCGAAGTAAATTGGGTAGGATTGAATGTTGCTTGCAACTCATAGAAAAGAGGTTTGGGGTTTTTTTGTTTCTTTGTTTTTCTGTAACGATTTGGCTAAGTCCATGAGGAAGTCTGTTTAAGAAAGTGTTTCTCTAGAATGGCCCTTGAACATCTTTACTTTGGAGAACAGATTGTGCTGAAGAGATTTTGTAGCAAGATTGTCTTTTCTGTATAAGTAATTCCTTCACATCAGAATGCTGTCTTGTAGCAGGGGGCACTTTTTGCCAAAAATATATTCTGCTCTTCTGAAGAATAGTAAGGCTGATGCAGAACAGAATTAATCTCTTATTGTTATGGACACCGAAAGTGGGACTGGTTCATCTAGCTTTAATCATTGGAAAGCTGATCATTGATCTTAAACAGATTACTTATAATCAGCAGGGAGAAACTCCCTAGAGGTTTGTCCCTTTCAGCAGTGCTAAACACCTATATTGGGATGGACTGAATCACCCTTGGGAGATGCTGTTGATAGGGGGGAGATGAGATGAGACAAGTATTTGGGTGCCAACATTTCAGCGGCTAAAATTAGCTAAGATGACGTGTGCTCAAAGTCCAGTGAGTCCTGCGTACAAAAAGGCCATGCATACACAGCTGGTGCATGTAGGGATGTAGAAGGGACACGGCTTACCATATAGAGTTATCCTTAATAACCACATTTTCCCTTGTCATCACTTGATATGCTTATTGCAGCAGCATGCAGTAATACAGGTGCCTGGGGAAAAAACAGTCATCGTTTATTTTTGTGGAGCACTGTGATCTTGAAGCCATGTGAAACCTGTTCTCGCTGAAAAGCCCTGCAGGCTTCTGAACATCTGCAGGGATGCTAAAAAAATAAAAGCTTCTTCCCCTTTTCTCTGCAAGAAAAGATGTAAGAGCATGAGGGATGGGAGCAGGATTCCAGGAGGGAAATATGTGCAGCACCAATAAAGATGAGATCCCACTGGATTTGCTTGATTAGCTGCAAAGCACAGAGCGTGCCACGGTGCGGTGGCAGGGTGGCAGCTGGGCAGACGTGCAGGGTGCAGTGGGGATGGGCAGAGGTCAGGGGGGGCTGCACCCTGGGCAGGAGGGAAGCCAACGTCTCCTGGAGGAGAGGGATTGATTTTCATGGGGGAAAAAAAAAAAAAAAAAAAAAAAATCCCATTTCAACACCAGGCACCCTGTGAGGTGGGCTTGTCAAAGCGGTTTTTAGTGCCTTGCTGAAGAATTTATTTGGGGCTGAAGTGACTGAAATGATTATTTCGGAGTGAGTTTGGGCATGGGAGAAATGTATGTGAGTTAACAGTGGATGTACCTTTGGGAAGGGCTTAGATGGGGGAGTGGAAAAGGAGTTCTTTTGTGGATAAAAATGATTTTGTTTGTTGGGTAAATGTGTTGCATTAGTCTGCATGAGAGTAAAAAGTGCTCTGTTAAACATGTGCTCTATTAAACATGTG